AATACTGCATGTGTTGTGCTCATATAATGCTCATGAGTAGTATGCGATGTAAGAGGGTTAAACAGATTTGAGATTGGTCTATCCTCCTCTTCTTGCTCGGTGCTACTCGTTGCTGCCTCCATCCCTCTCTTGCTCTCTGCTCCTAAGTTAACCCAACATCAAAAATGGTGTTAGCATGATTTCCTACACTAGTTTTTATATTCAGTGTGTTAATTGTTTTGCTGCTTTCTATAGAGTCCCTACTCTTCCGTTTAATGCCCTAATCCACATGTAATCTTAAACATTTCGCTTTAGACCGGTCTTTCCGATGCTTTGTGTGTACTATATCTTCTGCCATTTCTGACTTTTGGATCCACAGACAGGCTTCCCCGATATAGACGCTACCACATAAACATAAAACTTTGTAGCACTCCGGCTTGAATGGTCCGAAGCTTCCGAAAACATGGCATTACATCTCATATAACTGAGGAAAGTTATGTTTTTCCTATAATACATTGCTCCTATATCTCATTGCCTCAGTATATCAACTAGCTTTTTTCAGATTCGACAGCTAGAACTTTGCTTAAACTTACCATCTATTAGGTTCATCTGTAAGCCACGGACTCCTTATAATCATGGATTTCACTAATCCTATTTCAATCCAATTAGAATAAGTTTAAAATAAATTTCAATGAAGGCTCACATTTGTTGCTTTCGTAAGTAAATCTCAGATGGATTGTATTCCCTCTTTACTAACTTAGGCATCCTCAGCTAATTCCACGGCGAATTTAGAGCCCACATCTACTTTGCAAAATGACAAATCACCCATATACTCATTACTCATTTATGAACTAAAACTGTTTCTTGAATTTGGCGGCCATTCAGTTGAGTCATGGATTCATTTGACCAAAATTTGAGATCTTATAGGATCATTCGTACAATTTACAATTAAAAGCAAAATATGCAAAGCTCATTACCAAATATTTAGTTACCGTGATTTATTTATCTTCTAAATCTTTACTCATGACTTCTCCAGCTATTGCTTTAATGTTAATTCTAATCTTATGCTGCGCCGCTTAAGGAAATGCCAAATATGATCACCAAATAACATGGCTTATGCTGAAATAGCAAATCTCATGTTCTTAAATGTATCTTAATGAGAACATTCACTTGATTTGGGTTATGTTTAGATATTAAATCTCACACATCCCGCCATACTGTTCAAAATATTTTTGTGAAGAATCTGCACTAAGTACTAGTAGTCTTAAAGTAGCGTTTCTCGAGTGAAAAGGCAATGATGGCAGCCAAAAACAAAGTACTAAATTGTAATCATGTAGATTTCTGCCAATTTTTTCTTGGTCTGCCCATAAATGCGAAAGCCAAGATCGCAACCTAGATTCGAAAACCCTAAATCCACCTCTTTATTTTTGAAGGCTAATTGTATAACCTGTTCACAGATTCATAGACCTAGACTTGACCGAGTAACCTAATAGAAAATGAGGAATATACTTGGTAGGTAGACTAGCTGATCTGATTTCGATTTGGCTCTCATTATACCAATTAGCCACATATGCTAGTTACCTACAGCCAAGATACATTGCGTTGTCATCTGAACAAAACAAGGTAATGCTGTTATTGAGAGTAGTAAAATCCTAAATATAAAATACAAAAAGTTAACAATGTGCTTAAAGTTTATCTTATTGAAGACAACCAGTACTGTCAGATAAAAGAAAATGAATTTTTGTCTTTTATAAGTAGGTATTCGAGACTATCAGTTTATTTTTTAAGGTGATAAGGGGACTAGTAGTTAAACTTCTCCACGTGTAAACCTCAAGTTGTCATTGAATTTCACATAATCTTGTAGCTCTGAAAGGTATTCTTATCCAGGCTGTAGTAGACTGATGTTTCAACCTCGCTGAATGTCTAATCAACACTTGCAGCAGGACTCGAACCCAGGCAGGACAATCTCAACACGTCAACCACTTCGCCATATTTCCTCGATTCTTCTTGGATAAACAGGGCAGATATGAATTTTAAGGAAGGCCCTGGCCGATCAAGCAAAATTGTATTCACTATAGCAGTCAAATGCATTACTTATTCTTCGTTTTATAAGCAGGTCCTCGAGGCTACCAGTGGATCGTATAAATGAGGTCGAAACTCAGCCTGGATAAGCATACTTTTTCAGCAAGCAAGGCTATGTAAAACGAAATGAAAACATAAGGTTTACTAATATCGTTGTAGGAAAATTCAGCCACCAACCACTTTATCACCTTAAATGAAATAGGGTAAATATATGACATACAGCAGAACATGAAACTTTAATAAGTGTTAATCCTGTTCGCCATGTACTCTACTGGCGTTTTGGGAAAACTTTCTTTCAGGAAATATATTTCCTAAGAGTTTTATTTTCTGGGCTGATGCATATTGCTTATCAAATTGAAACTTAATACAGCAATCTCGATATTTCCTCACCCTTGCAGACAAGTAACACTTGCAGCCGGCGGCTTTACTGTATCACCCATTGCCTCTGCATCTTGCCAGTCGAATTTGTTGTAGCGTAAAATGTGGCACCGGGCAGTTCCGATCACTTTGACCATGCTGCCGAGCCGCTGCAGAGAGACCAATTTGGTCTGCGTCAAGTCCGAGGAGGCCGTCAGAGATGGGGAGGAAATGACATGCGACGAGGAGCTGGAAGAGGGGGACGAAGAGGAGTTGAAAACTGTACCTAATGACGGAGACCCTGGTGATGCTAGAACGGGGCCGGAATTTATCGCAACTGCTCCTGCAGCAGTCAACTCTGATACTTCAACCGCCCACTCAGCCCCTGGGCCAGGACCGAGGCTCCAGGCCAGGCAAGAGGTGGCCCTCCGCGCCGGACGTGAGGGTTTCGTCGAGGAGCTGTAAGACGACGCCAGTGTTCTCGAGGCATAGGCCCTCAGTTGGCGAGGCTTTATTGGCGGAGGAAGAGATTTCTGCGACAATCCAGCTTGAGGAAGCCTTCTGCGATTTGGTTGATGCGAGTCACTTGGGCCCGAGCCATCTGGTCGCTGTGGGTCAAGTGATCTGTTGTCTACAGGAGAGCTGGAACTTGTTGTCAGAGATGCGGGAGAGGAGTAAGAGGCTAGCGAGGAGGTGAGTGAAGATGTAGATAGACCCGAATTGACGGAGGTTATGGAGGTGGCCGAAGTTGATGTGGAATTGGTGGATGATTGGCTAAAGGCGACAGTTGAAGCGAGCCGTATCCCTTTTGGCGCAGTCTTTGGCAAGGGCTTGGCTGGAATAGAGGGAGAAGCAGAAAGATGCGAAGGCGACCAGCGCGTAAAAATGGGACTGTCATCTGCTGAAGATGACTGCAGTGCGATCTCACCACTGAGCAGTCTCGGCTGGCAGAGTACCTAATCAATTGAAAAAAGAAATGGTTTTTTTTACTGGAATTAGGGGCATATAGGATTGAAACGACTAAATATAAAAGCTTGCAAAAAAATGCGCTCTTGCATGGGATTCAAACCTGAAGAGGGATACTAGGAAGCCCTCTATCGAAGACGATTCAAAAATGAAATGTTAAAGTAAATATAATATTTATTAATTTATTATAATATTTATTTATTATTTATATTTTTTGGCCTTCGGTATGGACGAAGTCTCTTTTCGATTTATAGAAGTGGGTTGACCTCGTTTTCGCAACTTGATTTAGTTGTCAACGCGACTTAGTAGAACGCACCTTATCCGAAGTCCTCTGCCATACAAGTTATCATAATTCACAGCATCAGACCGTGGACTTGGTACATTCTCAGAAGTTTTGCCGACATTATTATAATATTATATGAGATGCATTCACCCAATTTCATTTAAGGTGATGAAGGACTGATAGAAGAATTTTCCCACAATGATATGAGTAGAGCTGGCGTTTCTATTGAATTTCACATAGCGTTGCTTTCCAAAAAGTTGTTCTTCTACCAGTCCTTCATTAACTTTAACTAAATCGGGTGAATACATCTCATATTACTGATTTACTGTTAGTCTTGAAACAATTATTAAATGCGAAATATAATATTATAGGTTCGTCTCGGCCATCCTTGCTTTAAGGCAACTTATATTATGTATGTGAAGAAAAGTTGGGTTTTCGAGGAATCTATTGTTTCATAATTGTTGAGCTTACTTACATTTCGAGTAAAAGTGTTGGGTGAAGAGATTCAAAGGTCGGTTCCACCAGAAAACGAAGTCGAATTCCTCTTGACCAGCTGTCGATTTGCTTTACTGGAAGATTCATGCTGACGCTGTTTCCGGAGCAATTTCCTTCGATTCCGGTGAAAAGGTGCTAAGCTTTCGTCCGTCATATGACAGACATCATCTGAGCGAGGTAACATTGTCACAACAAAATTTAAGCTACGAGTCAAGAAAGCCAATCGACAGCTCGTCAAGAGGAATCCACAGTCTTCTTCTGGTGGAACTGACCTCGAAATGGAAGTAAGCTCAACAATTATATTATGTATGCTAATTTAAGTGGGATGAACAAGCGGATTGAGATATTTTATAGTGCTTCTAAAAAAACAAGGTAAAATCTGTATCTTTTTAATAATGGAGTTCATGTTCTGCCTAGCTTGGCCCTTATTCTTGTGTTAAGAATTTTGTTGACTCGTTAACTTGAATTTGGTTGTAACGACGATACCCTGCTCTGATGATGTTCATCATATGACGGACGAAAGATTAGCACCTTTTCATTGGCATCGAAGGAGATTATCTGGGAAACAGCGTCCCCACAATTGTTCCAGTAAATCCAATCTACAGCTAGTCAAGAGGAATCCGCAGTCGTCTTCTAGTGACATCTACCTTCGAATCACTTCCTAAAACACATTTACTTGAAATGGAAGTAGGCTCAACAAGAATGTAAGCAAGTCATAAGTTGTGATAGGGCGGGAGTTGGATAAGAGGGTGAAGAGTTGATAGATGGGCCAGAACAGAAAGAGGAGTGAGAGTGTAACCGTTCTTGGCAGAATATCGGTCAAGGGATTGACTTAGAATGTCTCTTTCACGAAATTGTAGCTTAAAACGGAGAATGGCAACGCTCATGGATGAGACTGGATTTGATGTCGGCGAAACGTCTGAGAATGTACCAAGTGCACGGTCTGACACTGGGAATTACGATAACTTCTATGGCAGAAAACTTCAGACAAGTTGCGTAATACTAAGTTGCCTTGACAACAAGACCAAGTTACGACAATGAGGTCAACTCACTGCTTTATTGGTAGCATTAAGTGATGGGAACTGCAGCGACATAAAGAATTATATCCATCAACCATAATAAACAAATAATGTTTACCGTTTGTAAATAGGGTTTCGAGATATGTTCATTCTATTTCGTTTAAGATAATAACAGGACTGATAGTCGAACTTTCCCTTTATGATATGTGCAGAACTTATGTTTCTATCCTATATCTGATTTACGGACAGTCTCGAAACCCTACTTACAAACGACAAATAAGTAATGTAGTGGATTGTCATAGCAAATAAAACTTTGCTTTATCGAAAATTCCACCACAGATGTGGAATTTACATCTGCCCTGTGGTCCGAGGGCACTGGTGATAATGTGGCGTAATGGTTAACGTGTCGAGATTATGCTATGCACTCTCATGGTTCGAGTCCCGCTATTGGTGTTGATAAGACCTAGGTGAGGTCGAAACTGCAGTTCACACCTGCCTTGATGAGCACACCTTTTGGAAAGCAAGGCCATGTAATATTCATTATAAACATGGCGCCTATTCATATTAATGTGGGAAAATTAAACTATCAGTACTTCTTCTCCTTAAGCGAAATAATGTGAACAGATCTCATGTAAAAAATAATATACTAAACTTTACCACTTTCTCGAAAATTGGAAGCAGTGAGACGCAAGATATGCTTGAATGGGAGTTTTAGTCATCCTAGGAATAAGAACATAATCCCTCAAACTCACTTACAAGTTTCAAGAATTAGTCGTGAACCTTTTGCACAAAGATAATATTAGCCCACCGAAGGTCATTGCATTTTACTCAGATTTGCCTTCCAACAGGCTTTCACAGCCCAACTCTATGGCAGATCAGACCTCATTTCACGTCCTTATCAGAACCCCGAACTGGAATCGAAACCGAGCCAAGCTAATCATGGCGCTACGTAACCGACTTCGAATCCCGATATAGGTAGAAAAAGGTCAGAGCTACCATGGAATCGGGATGCGAATGCATTTTGGGAGACAAGGAAAAGAGAAATTTAACGGTATCATGAGGCACACTCATATAATTGCAGAAAAACTGCTTTATCAGTACTTAAATCACCCTGAGCTATCTGGAGTGACTAACTTATTATTCAAACAATAACAAACTCACTAGACGGTCAAGCCTGAAGTCCATTTTCACCATCGTCATAAGGCCGAGCCAACTCAAGTGTGTGAACAGGCTTGGTGGATAAGTAACCTTTATTCAAGATCGCTTTTGTCTACGACTAACTCTTCCTACTAGAATGTTGGACA